CAAACACTTTCCAAGATGCGGTGCGCCGACCTGGCTGTGGGCTAGGTGGAGTGTGAAAAGTATCCCCACGTGTTCCAGAAACAAAGCCACTTACGGGGGCCCCTAAAAAGGGGCGCTGATTCTAAAGATGCACGAGTTGTGCTCTTGTCCGCCAGCGTCCGGAAGAGAGCTCCACAGGGGACCCTGCCCTCCTTCCTGCTCCGAAAGCCAGATTTTGCTTCCAAAGCTAGAAGAAATGAGTAATGAGCAAAACGAATGTTTTCTCTCACCAGCTCTCAAGTGATGGCTTTTCAGCATTTTAAAATGCAGTTCTGCTACTGGAATTTGAAACAACAAATTACATTTATGAGGTCAAGGTGAAGCTCGCAAATGTTACAAGGAAAGGAACATTCATAAATAAAGATGAAGTCATTTATCAGAGACCAAAATAAGAAATAGGCTGAAAGCGCTGGTGAGATACACTGGTAACGTAAGGGTCATTTAGCCTAATGTTCACATTTATATGCAAGAAATCGAGTTTGCAGCACAGTCCAGGCTGGTTGCTGGGCTGGCAGGCGAGGCTGGGTGCTCTGTGGTGTGCCCACCATCCCCGCCCTGCTCTGTGCCCCACATGTCTGGGGGTCCTTCGACCTCCGTCCTAACTCTCCTGCCTTCTGGCCCCTGGTCTCCTGGTCTGCTCTGGCTGAGGGGAAGGGAGCGCAGCTTCAGTGCGCTTGTTCACTGTTCTGAGGCAGGAGAATGGCAGAGGGAGCTGGAGCTTGGATAGAGAGGCGTATGGGCTGCACTTCCTGGCAACAGCTCCCGCTGGCCTGTCCTTGGGCTGCAGCTCACTGTTTCCTGACAGTCGACTCTCGTGCATGACTCTGCTTCCTCGTTTGGGCCTTGGGTGCTAACGACGACATTTCTGCTGACCTGGAGAGCCTGTTCCTGTGGTCCCTCATGCCTGACCCTCGCCCTTGTAAGCCATCCCTCTCCAGTTACCCTAATTTGGCTGTGCTACTCATCGTCGTCCGGTCAGGATGCCATAACAAATATGCTGCAGCCTGGGGCTTAAACAACTAATGTTTCCTTCTCACATTTCTGGAGGCTGGAAGTGTGGGGTCAAGGTGCCGGCGGACTTGGTGCCGGCAGACTTGCTGTCTGGGAGGGCCCGCTCCTGGTTTGCAGAGGCCTGTCTTCTCACTGGGACCCCACGGGGCGAGCAGAGGGTGGGCTCCTGAGTCTCTTCCTATAAGGGCACTAATCCCATCCTGAGGCTCCACCCTGATGGCCCAGTCACCTCCCAGAAGGCCCTCCTAACACCATCACGTAGGAGTTTTGGGAGGACTAACACATTCAGTCCAGGGAACAGTCTGTCTCCACCTGCGTCCTGCTGACAGCTGTTTCCTCAGTTGTCTTCCTGAGTCCCGTTTTGTCGATGGCGGGCTGGGAAGGCCATTGTGTCTTCCTGGGTCTCGTCTCAGTGATGGCAGGTTGGGAAGGCCATTGTGTTTTCATCTGTCCCATCTTGGCAATGGCAGGTTGGAAAAGCCCTTGTGTCTTCCTGAGTCTTATCTTGTCAGTGGCGGGCTGGGAAGGCCATTGTGTCTTCCTGAGTCTTGTCTCGGTGATGGCAGGCTGGGAGGGTCCTTGTGTCTTCCTGAGTCCCATCTTGTCGACGGTGGGCTGGGAAGGCCCTTGTGTCTTCCTGAGTCTCATCTTGTCAGTGGCGGGCTGGGAGGGCCATTGTGTCTTCCTGAGTCTCATCTTGTCAGTGGCGGGCTGGGAGGCCCTTGTGCCTTCCTGAGTCCTGTCTCGGTGATGGCAGGCTGGGAGGGTCCTTGTGTCTTCCTGAGTCCCATCTTGTCAGTGGCGGGCTGGGAAAGCCCTTGTGGGGTCTTCCTGAGTCCCATCTCGGTGATGATGGGCTGGGAAGGCCCTTGTGTCTTCATGTGCCTGATGCACAATAGACAAGGCAGGGCAGTGCATACTTCTTATTGTTTATTTTATTGAAAACATCCTTAAGTTTATGAAACCAGCCAAAGTTTCAAATCTAAGATCATCACTTTCATTAGGCAAGCCTCTGTCCAGCCCTTTCTGGACCCAGAGGAGGAGGTAATGATTTTTAGCAAAATTTAAGGGGCATTTCAGACCTTCTTCATTTTAGCTTTCATGTTTTATATTTTTGAATTTTAATTGATGGGCTTAATGAGATTTGGGGCATTGCATCCTAACATCCACAACAAAACTAAATGGAAGGTATGGGCTGGAGTTGTGGTTGCTTTGTGTGGTTGTTTTGAGTGTTTTGTGTGGTTATGTGTGGGGTTGTGGTTAGGAAGGTCCCAACCTTTTGGATGTGAACTGACATTTTATATTTCTTCATCTTATCTAGTTTGGAACCAGATTTTTAGATTACTCATTTTTGAAGTACTTTTTCTGATTGTAAAAATGAAATGGATGGAAAACATAGACATTTTGTAGAAAATGAAAGAAAAAATCCCAAATACAATCAAGTATAGCTGCTATATTAAAATTTACTGTATTTCCTTCCAGTCTTTCTTTAACACATGATGGAAAAACACTCATGGTTGAGGACATACACACTCTGTGTTCTGCTTTGTGTTGTGTATGCAGCTGACCAACTAACTGAAAAAACTTTATTGCCTGATTTCTAATGGTTGCCTAATAATTGTTTTTGTGTGATTTCAATAGCCACCTGAATGCTACGAGAAGTCCTCAGTGCCATGGTCTGACCCCCAGAGAAAGCCCCAGCTGCTCCCCAGTTGCTCTCTTTCTAACAGGCAGTTGACAAGTATTCTAGCCACAGAAGGCAGGAATCTGACACAATTCTGTATTGGGAGAATGACAACAGCACAGATTAAATGTGGGCACCCTCCCAGTGCAGGTTCTCACCATGACCCAGTGAGGGGGGCATTTTAAATCCCCAATTTACAGAAAGGAAAACTGAGGCTCAGCTCATGTGAGAAATTTGCCCGAATTCACGCAGCTGAACGGCGAGGGAGCGAGCACTGACATGAGGTGTGGTTGGCTCAAAGCCCACAACTTCCTTTGGTACTGAGTAGTTAAGAGTATCCGAGATCAAAGCTGCTGTTTTCTTTGACCAGATTGTGGAAGGAACAAGATACGCCTTTGCTGCAGGGTAACTCGGAACTTCAACACTTCCTTAGATTACATGAGTAAGAGTCACAGAAAAGAATACCCCATGGAATCTGAGAATCTGACATTCCCAGGCTGGGAGATCATTTGGGAGGCAATGCAGGAGGAACAGAGACTTCGGAGGCGGCTGGTCTCTAAAGCTGCTGTGTGAAGTGCTCCCTTCTGCGAGGGCACACTAAGGTGTAGTTCTGTCACCTCAGTGACACACTGAAACGCCTGGGAAATGAAGAACAGCACACCGCTGTCCCCGACGGAGCCCAGGGCATGGGCAGTCACAACCTGCCCTCACAGCCGTCCCTAACGGAGCCCAGGGGGTGGGTGGTCACAACCTGCACTGGCCAGTGGAGGCCCAGGGAGGGTAGGAATTGCCTCTGCATCTTCAGGCGCGGCGTCCCCAGCGAGGGCAGCGGTGGTTTGGGAGAGAGCAGCTGTGACGGTGGCATGGAGGGCCTGACATGCGACTTTGGGATGTACATGGAGTGGGAACTGTGTCCTGACCACTGCGTTCTCCGTGGGAACTGTGTCCTGACCACTGCGTTCTCCGTGGGAACTGTGTCCTGACCACTGCGTTCTCCGTGGGAACTGTGTTCTGACCACTGTATTTTCATGGTGTTCATTCTGCGTCCACATCTTCAGAGAAAATTCCCGAGGCATTGTGAGCATGTCCATCAGGGCAGCCTGGAAAGCTTGGTAAATGCTGTGTGGTGGTGAAAGGATGTCTGTTATAGGTGAGAGCTTCATCGATTGATGGATGATTGATGGCTTGATGTCTCAGGCTAGAGCTTCTGTGGTGTCCACCTGGTGCGATGCAGAGGGCTGGGGTCAGGGCGGTCTCTGCCGGAAGTCACCTCCGGATAGAGACTCCTAGTGTGTTGCAGGGAGACCCATCATGCAGGACAGGGTCCTGGCAGTGCCTCCGGGAGTGAACACGGGTCCGTCTGGCTTCTGATAGCTTCCTAGCACTCCACATTGGGCCACTCAGTGGAAGGCAAAGGGGTGTTCTCCTTGGATGGTTTGTGCCTGGGATTTGTAGCCAGACGCAGAGGGTCCTAGAAATCTCCATTTCTGAGCTTCTTGCTCAACAAGTGAGTTTGGCAAAGTTTTGTTGGGACTTAAAGTTTGCACAGATTGCGTCTGTGAGAGGCTCACTTTAGCGAGTGCAGATCTTGGGCGCTGCCCTGTGAGTGAGGGTGCACTGAGGAAGATGATGTTGCTGTAATTAGGACCAAGGCACTCAGCCCGGTATCTCCGGGGACTGGTGAATCAGTTTATTCTGCAAGTAACAAAATTAGGGAAGGAAGTGTTTTTCAAGCTCCTGTGGTTGTTGGGAGGTGAGCTAACCCTTCGCGAGTTATTAATTGCTGGTCTCTTGGAGGGTCACGGGAGCACAAAGTGACAGGAACTCAAGTCATTTCTGTTCTGTTTGCTTGTGTTTGTTTTGCTTGAAGTTAATGCTTCGGTGGCTGTGGGAATGAGGCCTGGTCCCTGGCTTGATGGAGAGAGGCCAGTCAGGGGGGAGCAGGTGTGTTGGAGCCTGGCCATCCCTGAGCCATCGAGATGGTCTGTGTGTCAGAGCGCAGCACGGGCCACGCTCTCCCTGCCGTGTGTCAGAGCGCAGCACGGGCCACGTTCTCCCTGCCGTGTGTCAGAGCGCAGCACTGGCCACGCTCTCCCTGCCGTGTGTCAGAGCGCAGCACTGGCCACGCTCTCCCTGCCGTGTGTCAGAGCGCAGCACGGGCCACGTTCTCCCTGCCGTGTGTCAGAGCGCAGCACGGGCCACGTTCTCCCTGCTGTGTGTCAGAGCGCAGCACGGGCCACGCTCTCCCTGCCGTGTGCAGAGGGCTCCTGCATGCGTTTAACACCAGCACACTCAGTATAGTCTTGTAAGGAGCAGGCTGAAGTGTGCTGTGGTGTGTCTGGAGGAGTGCCCGTTGCTGGTTTTTGTTTTATTGTTACGTGTTTTTTGCCACGTTCCATGCTGTTCCTCTAACCACATAATGTCCTGGGTTTTTGAGGTTTAGTGACTTTTTTGGTCTTTTCTTACTTTTTACCCATGTTTTTTCCTCTTTGCAGGATCAAAGTCGCATACAATAGCACCTTTATTATAACGCACGGTCCACCACACTCCAACTTCCAGTGTGGAGCCATCGGTGGAGGTTTGCTGAAAGCCTGAGCAAATCTCATGGCTCTCTCCTGTCTGCACGACGACTGTGGGGCACGTGACCGGAATGCTCTGATGCCTGTCTGACATCCAGGGCTTCTCAGGAGCCACAGGAGCCATACTGGGGGCTGACAGGTTCCTCTCCCAGTGTCCCTTATGGGCATCTGAGAGCCTGGCCGGAGAGATGTGACGTGGCTTGAGAATGGACAGAGGCCAAGAGCAGATAACAAAGCAAGGTCGTGCCCGATGAGCTGAGGATCTTTTCACACTGGGGGCGTGGACACCACGCAGGTGCTGAGCCAACCCTGAAGCGGTCTGCACCTCCCTCCAGCACTTTAGGGAGCCTCTGTTAACGCAGGATTAAAGCCTGTGGATGGACATGCCCCCATCTGACTTTGTTGTTTTTTCAATTTTCATTGTGGCAAAAACTATTCTAAGAATAAACTAAGCAGGTTTATCTGACCCTTGAGAAGGAAGGGCCCAAGTTGCTTTGGGTTTTTGCCTTCCATGTCCTTGTCAGTGGAAACCCCGAATGCCTGGGCTTCTCGGCGCACGTAAGTGTTTAGACGAGGGTTAGTGCAGTGGTGCGCTCAGCTTCCAGGTGCCTGGTAGGTTGGCAGCCAACGCGGCTGGGAGGAGGCGTGCATTTGTGTAAAATATGCTCCTGTTCACCACATTCTTTCTTAGGATCAGAGGGCAGGCGGTGGGTGATGGCATCGAGCCTGGTGTTTGGAGGTTGTTTTATGTGACACAGATTTCTTCACCTTTTTCTCCAAAGGTGATGGTCCAGCGGCGCGTCGGTTTTGTTCTTTCCTGCACCCGCTGCTGCCTCCTCCTCTCAGCTGGGGTGTTTCCATCTGCTGCCTTCCAGGAGGCTGCGCGTGAGACGTGGGCGTCTGTCCACCACAGCAAACACCCGCCTGCCTCGTGAGGAGGCCTCACGGCGCCTTCCCCACAGGTGGGACAAGCTAAGCCTGGAGGGGGCTTTGCCACAGCCCTGGGTCGTTCTCTTAGGGAACACCTGCTGTTTCTGTGCCACCCCTGGGCTCGCAGGCCTGGATCTGGATGCGGTTGGGGCCTTCCTGTGGCCCCTTTTCCCATCAGTTCATGGAGGGTGGCAGCCGCAGGCTTGAGCTCGACTCTGGAGAGGGAGATGTGAACTGACAGCCTTGGGTTCCCTTCCCCGGAGGGTCTCTCGGATGGCAGCATGGGGCGTGGGTAATGGGGTGTGGGTAATGGAGTGTGGCTGGGAAGCCGTTACCTGAGTGCTGTAGGGTGATGTGTCTGTAAATTTGCTCTCTCAGGCACGGTTTGGGGCAGCTGTTGGCCGGGCTATAACCTAAGACGTTAAATTCAGTTCCCTCATCGCAGCTTAGGGCTCCTCTTGCTTTGAACACAGTCTGTTGTGGTTTGTTTCTGTTTGTGTTTGGCTGTGGACGATGAGTGGTGGCCGTGAGTTTCCCATGGATGCGCTCCACCTCCTGCAGGAGCTGCCTGGTCATTGTCCTTTTTTGAACAACTTTTCACAACAAACCAGCTCTGTCTGCAACTGTAACATGTCTTAATTATTTTGTGTTTTAAAAATTAAAAAAAATAGAGCACAGACCACCACCAGGTTCTCGACTTATGGATGCTAATGTCATGGCCTGAGGGAATGGTGCTGTTGAAATTATAAAGACTTGGTTTTAAATATCTTGTGTGTGTAAAGTTGGTTCCCTTGTGCTCTTCCCCTCCTGGCAGCACACGCTCATACATGTGCTCACACATGCACACGCACACACACACGCCCATGTACATGTTCACACATGACACATGCACACACACCCATGTACATGTTCACACATGACACACATGCACACACGCCCACGTACATGTCCACGCATGATACACACATGCCCATGTACATGTCCACACACAAAACTCACACATGCACACACGCCCATGTACATGTCCACACAACACACATGCACACGCACACACATGCCCATGTTCATGTCCACACATGACACACATGCACACACACGCCCATGTACATGTTCACACATGACACACATGCACACACACGCCCATGTACATGTCCACACATGACAAACACACATACATGCACATGCCCATGTACATGTTCACACGTGACACACATGCGCACACGTCCATGTACATGTTCACGCATGACACATGCACACATGACACACATGCACACACATGCCCATCTACATGTTAACACACGTTCACACATGACGCACATGCACGTGTTCCCATGTACATGTTAACACAACACATACTTATGTTCATACATGCCCATGTGCATGCCTGCACACAGTCACACACATGCACACACACACGCCCATGCACATGCTCACACATACACCCCTGCTCACATCACACATGACCATGAACATGTTCACACACACGCCCATGCACGTGCTTATATACATACTCACATGTGGCCACACACATCCTCATACAGATACATCCGTACACATGCTCACAGACAGACATGTGTATGTTTTGAGGTAACTTGATCACTGGCTCCCTCCAGCCTGGCATTCCCCTGCTCTGCTGAGTGAACATCCTTCCCGGAGCCTGCATGGGACCCACATGGCCAGACACCTCTTGCCTCGCCCCTCAGGAGCGGGAAGGAGTGGGTTCTGCCGTGAAACAGAACTTGGGAATGTGCATGTTTCTTTTCCTTTGCCACCAGCTCTTTGTGGTCTGGGTCATTCCAACCCCAGCATTCACTCTGTTTCATATGTTAGTGTAAACCTGCACACACCTCACATGGCACACATATGTGCACACACGGGTGCTCACAGGCACACGCTCTCACACGTGTGCTATAGCTGGTTCCATTGTGGGTTTTCTCTTCACTTTGCCCACAGCCCAGGAGAGACCCCCACCCCTTGCTGTATGTGTTCAAGTCGTGGGGTACCAGAGCTCCCTGTCCCAGTGCGTGAAACTTGTTCCTGGGAGTAGAGCTGAGTCTACGGCACACAGAGAGGCTGGCGTGGGATGTCCAGGTCCCCAGCATTCCCAGGAGCTCCTACAGAGCCTCTGAAAATTGCCACCTTCCCTCATTCAGTCCAATTACACTTGTTCTGTTTTCCTGATGTATCAGCATCAGTATTGAAGAGAAACAAAAAATAATTTTGGATTCAATTTCATTGCTTCACTTAATTATTACTGTAAAGACCTTGCTTTCCATTGCTTTTTATTGCAAACATGTGGCATTTAAATTGTATTTTGGATTGACAGACTTTGGTGGACTAGCCAGGGAACCAAATCACTGATTCCATGTTCTAAAAATCTGACTTAATTCTACTTATTTGTGGGGGCAGCCTGCCCTAGAAACGGATCTCACTTCTCTTGCATTCTCTCTGTTTTCCCTCTTGGTTGTGACAGAAACTTGGAGCTAGGGTTTATTTATTTTTTATTTTTTTTGTTGAGACAGAGTCTCGCTTTGTCGCCCAGGCTGGAGTGCAGTGGCCGGATCTCAGCTCACTGCAAGCTCCGCCTCCCGGGTTCACGCCATTCTCCTGCCTCAGCCTCCCGAGTAGCTGGGACTACAGGCGCCGCCACCTTTCCCAGCTAGGTTTTTGTATTTTTTAGTAGAGACGGAGTTTCACCATGTTAGCCAGGATGATCTTGATCTCCTGACCTCGTGATCCGCCCGTCTCGGCCTCCCAAAGTGCTGGCATTACAGGCTTGAGCCACCGCGCCCGGCTGGAGCTAGGGTTTAAGTTAGGGGTGTGCACGTGGCATGTGTGTGGTGTGTATGGCATGTGTGGCGTGCACGCTTATGTGTGTGGTATGTGGGATATGTGTGGTGTGCGTGTGTGGTAGTGTGCATATGTGTGGTGTGTGGTATGTATGTGTGGCATCTACATGTGTGTGGTGTGTGTGTGGTCTGTGTGTGGTGTACGTGTGTGTGGCGTGTGTGTGGTCTGTGTGTGGTGTACATGTGTGTGGTGTGTGGCATATATGTGGTGTGCATATGGGTACGTGGCATGTGTGATATGCACGTGTGTGTGGTGTTTGTGTGTGTAGAGGGAGATACTGAGAACTCATGCTGGTTGGGGAGGCCTGGGGAGACTGTGAGCTCGTCCTGCTCCCACCTGGCCCCTTCTGGTGACCGCCCCTCCCCACAGTCCTGGGGCTGGTGGACGCAGCCCAGGTGTGGAGAGTGAGTGCTGTGTCCGCAGAGGGAAGCTGCTGTCATTCCCACACTGCATCTTTGCAGCTGATTGGAGCCCAGACTCACACAGTCCCCACTCTCCCCACATGTGATTCATTTTGGTCAAAAATACACAAAATATCTCATACAGAGCACTCTGTGGTTCCAGAGGCAGCGATGTGAGTTTGCAGCTGTGTGTGAGCTGTTACCATGACCTGTCGGTGCTGGCCGTGGTCAGCAGCACCTTCCCTGTCTGTGGGGGTGTCCTGGTGAGTCCGTCCTCCTGCTGGCCTCCCCTGGGCCTTCCCACCTTCCTCTGCCAACACAGCCGATGCCTGCTCTGGGGCGCGTCAGCACCTGCACAGCAGAGATGCCACGCATTCCAAAGCAAAACGGAGATGATTTTTAAATGTGAAAATATTCAGAAGTAAATATGCTCGCAGCGGCTCCTCCCATCAGCGTTAGCCCAGGACCAACAGCGACAGGCGCTTACTGCCCACCAGGTGCCGTGTGAGTGCTGCGGGGGTTCTAATGTCCTGTGTCCCAGGCATCGTTGTTATTGTCTGTCTGCCTGTCTGAGAAGGGGATTGAG